TACTCTGTCTCTTCATCTTCTAAAAACTTATTCTTCTCATATTCTTTTTTTCGGAAGTTTTATTTGAAAAAAACGTTTCACATTCTAAACAAATATTATTTGGCCATTTCATATTTAAACTTCTTCTATATTCCAAACCTCACTTCAAAAATTACAACACTCAACCAACCAGTACCACCCTTCCTCCATTCAACAATGCCTCCTTTCCTACTTCTCAGTTGTTTGCTCTTCCACCATAACTTACAATCACAATATCTTTCATTTGTTTTGGTTAAAAAATTAAATGTATGGATATTATGTTTGAGTGTTATTATGTTTTGGTGAAAAAGAAGGAAATTAATGAGATGAATTTTTGTTGTTAAAATAAGAGCAAATTGTATGAATGTTATGCGACAATAATGTTTCATGTCTTTAAAAGAAGTTGAAAATATGTTTTTCAAAGAATAATTAAAAAATGTTATCCATGAATATATGTAAATATCCGTGGGTACCTTAAAACCAATAACTTACTTGCTTAGTGGATAGCCACACAAATATGGGGCAGATACATATATCATATTTATCCAATGGAGGGAACACGAATATCATACTATCCGACCCATAGATATCCATTTACATCCCTAATTGCAAACAATGTTTATTTGGTGGTTGTATGGGGGAGTGGTGTGATACAACTATAATATTTAATGGAGTTTTTCAGCTTATAACCCCTTGGTATCGTTCAACTTTTTCCTTATTCCGCATAATATCACCCTATTCGCCGACTCAGTCTGCCCATTCATCTGCGGTTGAAAGACTAAGATGAACTTCCTTTGTATCATCAGGTCTTGGCACAAATTTACCATGAACGAGATGGGGAATTGCATGTCGTTGTCTGAGATGATGATTCTTGGAAAATTGAACTTGCATATGATCCACTTATAATAGAAGTGACATACTCTTTCCATTGTGATTTTGGAGACAACCTATAATTTTATCCACTTCATGAAGTAGTCTACTCCGACGATTAGGAACTTCATTTGGCTAGGCGTCGACGAGAAAATACCTAGTATATCCATACCCATTGATAAAATAACCATGGGGATGTGACAAAATGAAGAATTTCAGCCGATGCGTGATGGAGGTTAGACTGTTCTTGACGCTTGTCACATCTCCGGATGAGTTTTGTATGGTCCTTCATTAGAGCGGGCCAAGAATAACCCACCTTAAGTAGCTTATAAGAAATTCACCCACCAATATGACTAACACATATTCCTTGGCAGACTTCTGTGAGTGTCAAGGAGATCTTTCTTTCCCATATACATCTCAACACGGGGAAGTATTTTTCCATCTTATAAAGCTTCCTAGAAATCATGGTGTATTTTGCTGTGTTTTCAAACTTTCTTCGCCTCTAGATTGTCTGATGGGAGTTCATTAGACATTAGATATTGTATTATGGGTGTAGTCTAACATGTGGGATTAGCGAATTCAACATTGTTGATTTCTTATATTTTGATACTTGGGGTGATCAAAGTTTTGTGTATCACGGTCCGTTTATGTCCTGACATCTTGGTGCTGGTGAGCTTCGACATGAGGTATGCTTTAGAATTCATTCCCTAGACACACATGTTATCTCAAAATCTTTGAAACGTTCAGACATGTCACGTAATTTTTTTTAGATATTTGATCAGCTGGGCCTTCTTCTTCTAATACTCACTGACAACATGGTTCTATACCAATTGTGAGTCGCTTCAGGCCTTAAGGGTGGAAGCAACCATTTCTATGGCGAAATCTAAGCTGATGATGAGTACTTCAGAATCGGCTAGGTTGTTGCTAACTTTAAACTCAAACCTCAAGAACTGCTATATTAGGAGGTTGTATGGTCCCTCTAGCACTATTTTTGTGCCACTTCATTTCAGTTTTGAAGCACCATCACAAATAATATCCATATGTAGGGGCCTTATTGCCTACCAATGAAATGAACTTCGCTAGGAAGTCGACCAACACTTATGACTTGATGCTTCCTCTAGATATATACTGGATATCATACTTATATAACTCCACTGACTAGGACAACCTCCTCCCCGGAAGATATGGCTTCTTCAAAACTTGGAAATGGGATTTTTGGTTTTTACCATTACACGATGTCCTTCGAAGTATGGTATGATCTTTCTTGCAGTTGTCATGACCGCTAGGGCTAGTCTCTCGATATTTTGGTACCTGACCTTAGAGCCTTTGAACACATCGCTCACGAAGTAGATGGGATACTCAGTCTTACTCTTCTCTTGTATGAGCATAAAGCTTATGATATAATAAATGAACGGAAAATACATATAAAGAGGTGTGCCAGCTTCCAAGCGAGTCAATATGGGAGGTGTCGCCACAAATACCTTTATCTTAGTGAACGCCCATCACATTCGCTTGTTAGTTCAAATTAGCGAAGAAATGTAAGGCCTTACCCGTACTAGAAGAAAACGAGCTAGGGTGGCTAGGAACCCTGTTAGTTGTTGAACTACCTTAATAATGGACCAACTTCTCATGTTGATGATAGCTAGGCACTTGTATAGATTTGATTCTATCGCTCTTCTGGTTAGCATAAATCAAAGGAATTTACCCATATGCACACCAAAGAAGCACTTGAGGGGATTTAAGAGCATGTTATACCTGATGATTGACTCTAGTATGTCTTCCAAGTCTGTATAATCACTTTCCCCTTATGAGGACATCACAATAATATCATCTATGCAGACCTCCCGGTTTCGCCATATCTGTTTTGATAACACTACATCCATTAATCTCTGGTAGGTGGCATATGCGTTCTTTAGTCTGAAAGGTATGAAATTGTAGTAATAATTACCTTGGTTAGACATGAACACCATTTTTGGAGCATCTATTAAGCAGTGAATATGCTCAATATGGATGATTAAGCTATCGGCTTGAACCAAGTTATCATATAGAAGATGTTCTTGAATATCAAGTCATCTCTTTGAAGTCAATCCTGTGGTCAAACGAAATTAAAGTGAAGACTTCTATTTCAATGTTTACCGATGGTTTGACCTCTCAACTCTCAAATAATGCTACTCAACATGAAGATATCTCAAGCCTCATTAAGAAGATTCAAAGTTCTTGTATGATGCTAAAATCAAAGATAATAATGCTAAGACTTAAAACTTTAGAGTTATGAAAGGGAGGACATGTGAAATCTTGTTTAGTCGTGTCTATCTGAGTGACCAGTGTCTGGTAAAGACACATGGATAGTTTTAGAAATACTATGTTAAAATCACGCAAACACAAACACACACACACACACACACACACACACACACACACACACACACACACACACACACACACACACACACACACACACACACACACACACGTGCACGCACACACAAACAAACACACAAAAAACCTTTGAAAATCTTCTCATGTTTTATTTAAACCACTTGAAAATGTTCTTAAGGCCTAGCCAACTAATTAGGAGAATATCTAATTGATTGGAATTTATCCAATGGAATAATTGATTAGACCTAATGACCTAATAAATTATTATCACTAAGTTGAGTTTAAAAGTGATTAGGACAATCTCTTAATGATTGGTAATAACTAAATATCAAAACCTTCCATTTATGGCTTGAAAAATCAATTATTGGAGGTCACTAATCGATTGGCCTAATCGATTATGACGTTGATTTTTACCATGGGTTGTTTTCAAATTTAAATAATAATTTGGCTTATAAATAGAGATCTTTTCTATCACTTTTTAACATCCAAAAAACTAGCTTTGATCTTACTTTAATTCCCCTCTTCAATTTCACTAAATCTCTTATTTTTCTCACATATGTTTAGCCATAGTGCTTCGAGAGTATTATTAAGTCTAAATGAGGATAATTGTTTTGGATGAAGGTTTAATTATAATTTACCAAGAGTGTATTATCTCTTGAGTAAATATTTATTATGTAAGAAGTTATTTGGTTTCGAGCTAAGCCAACAAAAGCTCTTGTTTTGTAGGGATTGTCTTAGGAAGTTTTTGTTTGGATCGTGAGTTTCACCAAGAAGAAAAGTTCTCTTTGTGTTCGTGAAGATCAACCATTAAATAGAAAAGAATCCAACTGCATGACCTGTTAGGGTTTTGAACAAAACTTGCGGCTTAAGAAAATACAAATAGTGCAACTCAATAATTTGATTTATATGATTTAAAATGTATCATAAATTAAGTCTTCATTAATATGATTTGGTATTGATAATTGATCTTTTGAGAATTCTTTCCTTATTCCAAAAAGCGCATCAATAATCAAACAATAAAAAAAAACAAATCAGACGCAAGATTTACTTGTGTAGCTGGCTTCTGAGGCAGGAGGTTCGTCAATGTGTGGGATATTTTGCCCAACATATTTGCCTCTTGTTTTGATCTTATTGAAACCGTATGTCTCAACATAATATCATGACATATTACATTACAATCACTTGTAACAATAATCTCCCCTTTGGTCAATTTTTAAGAGAATTGCATGATGTGCTACCAAAAGACGAGATCAAACTTCATGACATGTTTCATAATACATCATTGTGCAACGAAAAATAGACAACATATGCTAAAACAATTTTGAGGCTCTACAAAACTAGCATATTATAAAATGGTCAGCATAAAAGTAGTCTTACATTACCATATTTCTTCATCAAATTTGGTCTCCCATTAATCGCCTAAAAATAGACAAGGAGTCAAAATAGCCATCCACAAAGAGAAACAACCCAGGAGGGGTAGAAAACCACACCAAAAATAAAAAAGAAACAAAATGGAACCAACCCAAGAAGGTAATTGGAGCCAATATCCTACCCCGAGGGCTATTAAACAATCTATTAAAAAACCTACGCAAGGGTAAGAAATCATCAGAAGACAAAATCATTAATTAGAACAAATTTCAATCTTTACAGTCTTCAAAAAGAACCAAAGTCATAACCACCTTCACTCCCATCACTCTCAGCCTTAGTATCATTATCATCCTTTTCTGCAACATTTATGCCATTATCTCTTCAGCAGCCTGGGATGTAGAAGCTTCAACTCCCTTGGGAACCATAATCTTGATAAGGTCATCCACCTTACTCTTGCAATCTGTGGAGTTCATAATAACTTCCTGAAGAGACTTGGACACCTGCATTAATTCTAACAAAACATGGCTTCTGGAAGTTCCATAAAGTAGAGGAACCTTAGGGAGTTCACCTTCAGTAATCAGATCGAAATGAATATTGGGCACGAAAATGTCTGGAACATGGCTTCTAGCAAAAAGACGATAACTGAAACTCAATGGACTAGAACCAATACCAACAATTTCCCCACTGCTCATAATATTAGCTTTTTGGTTAATAAGAATACCATATATAAGAGATAGAAAACCAATGCGTAATTTGACAGCAAATGGCTCAAATTGCTTCAGAAGTTTTTCAAACACATATTCACCAAAATCAAAGGCAACCCTAATTCCTATTTGGTAAATCAAACTAGCTAGAGATGTAGTAATACATGAACTATGATTTGTAGGAGCCCAATTGGAGACTCAATCCGATTCAGAATGTCATACTTGACACTTAAGCTGGAAGTAGGCAGCAATCCATTGGTGGACCAATCTTCATACACCCTACCAATAATTTCTTGAGAAATTATCTTCAAGGGAGGAACCTTGTCAGTCATGATCATTTTGCTTCCACCCAGGTATTCATTGATTATGGTAGGAACAAAACAAATGTAGCATCCACAAACATGATCCTTCTTGTAATCTATGCTCCCAACCTTGTTAAATTCTTTAGGATTATTAACAACAAACTCATTCACAAGATATGGATAAAAGAGACTCAGGCCCGTCTCCACCTTCATAAATTGAGCATCTTCCAGTAGCTCTACAATATCTTCACACTTTAAGGTCTCCTTGGACAACTCCCTTTCAGAGGATAACCTTCTATGGTACACATACTTGCACTTCAACACGATTTCTTACGAATGGAATGAGACTTTGTCCATAGTGGCAACATAGATATTAGTAGGGATCTTCTCCCCCCCAACAATTTTTATATTCTTTTTGAAAGGGCTTATCACAATGTTATCCAAAATGTCTTTCATATCATCTTCAACAATTTCCACAGTAGGAGCGACCTTTCTTATAATGTTCAACATTGTTATCAGGAGTCACACCATTATTATCCTGACGAGTTGGAGACTTTGTCTCCAACATGTCAGACTAGTTGTCCATCACATTTTTGTCAACATTTTGATCTCTTAGATTGGTTTCCCGGGTTTCATCAGGAACAATATTTTGGGCTTTATCCTCTATAGGAACCTCTATTTCAGTATCTGTTTCTTCCTCCATCTGATCCACTTCTTTAACAACTTCATCATTACCAAATCATTTACTATTATTTTCATTATCAAGGTTCGTACCTACAGAATTTTCAGCCTCATAATGATGTTTGTCAATACCATCATTACCATCACCATTATGTTGACTCGCTAGAGACTCTTTATCACTAGAGTCCTCAATCTCCAAATGATTGTCATTAAGAATATCTTCTATGAAAGTGTATACAACAAGAACATCAACAACATGAACTTCTACAGTATTTTCACTAAAAAACTTTTCAATACTATCTTCCCTAGGGGTTCATCACATGCATGAATGAAATCTAGGGTTTGGTTCAAGTTATCAAAATCTTCATCTTTAGTTTTGGAAGATTCAACAACAATCTCCGACACATTCTCAACAACATTTTCAACCCTCTTTTTGCTAGGTTTTGTTTTAAAAACATTACCTTGAACATCGATTGGCACAATCACCTTAATTAGTGCAACATCAAGAGCCTCTTTTGTAGGTTGTTCTGCAGGGTTAGCTTGATTTTCAAGGACATAATTGACTTCAAAGTTTTTAATATCTTCATATTTTCCTTTCCCAGTAATATTGGACATGGTTAATGGTACATTTGAAGCTAGATCACCAGTCTTCCTTAGTTTCTTCTTTCTGACCTCTTTAGTTGGATCCGTGGTGGGAGGAACTCCATCCTAACCATTAACCTCCCCTCCTATAACAACTCCTTTCATTTTTACACCGTGCATGTTGATCATCTATTTGGCTTCCACCGTAGGCTTCTTGGGTTTCTTAGTTGATTTCTTATATTTTCCAAAAGTATTAGTTCAGTGCCTAGTTCCAACCATGATTGCAAGTTTTCTGCGGGGAAGGTGACATAGAAGTATTAGGGTTAGAGAAGGGTGAGTTGGGTGAAGTTATGAGAAGATGAAATATTTTTTGAACCACTTGAAGGGCATAACATAAAAGTGTACATTTATTTGAATAACATACGTAATAGGAATACCAATGGTTAAAACAAAACGGGGCACGTGTTCCTTGGCTGTGATGGCTATCAGAGATAAAATAGGGGAAAATAATTCACATGACATCTCAACATTAATTGCTAGATACTCTCGATAATTTATAAACCTAGGGAATTTCTTAGCTTTTCAAATATTTGGGTAAATATGCCAGCCGATTTGTTTTCTTTTGATCCATGGTAATAATCTTTTCTTCAACCAACTCTCAAATGAAATGGTGACAAATTTCAATGTGCTTTGTATGGTTGTGTTAAACATGATTTTTTTAGATATTTATCGCACTCATGTTGTCACACTATATGTCATAACATTTTGCTTGACATTGTACTCCTTCAATATTTGTTTCATCCATAACAATTGTGTACAACTGTTGCCTTCAGTAATATACTCATCTTCAGCAGTAGATAAGGACACACAATTTTGATTTCTAAACCAAGAAATTAGATGATTCCCTAGAAAGAAACATCCACCAAAGGTGCTCTTCCTATCTTAAGCACTGCCTGTACAATCAACATTACAATAGCCAACAAGGATGGAGTTTGTGTCATGGGAGTATAGAATACCATAATCTGATGTACCATTTATATATTTAATGATTCTCTTAACTTGAGTGTGATGACTAACTTTTGGATTTGCTTGGTAACGAGCACAAACCCCTACTAAAAAAGTAATATCATGGCGTCTGACTATAAGATACAAAAGGCTACCAATCACGCTTTTATAAAGATTTTGATCCACATCAACATATAGACTTTGATCCACATCAACTCCTTGATCATCTTTAGTTAGCTTGATGTGAGTTAAACCAGGTGTGCACATGTGTCTTTCACTCTCAAGCCCAAAATTATCCACAATGTTCTTAGCATATTTACTCTGTGACACAAATATACCTTCTTTCATTTGTTCACTTGAAACCCAAGAAAGTAGGTGGGTTCCCCTACCAAACTCATTTGAAATTCAGACTTCATTTGTTGAACAAAATGTTACACCATATTGTTTGACACACCTCCAAATACGATATCATCCACATAAATTCGAGCAATCATTATCTTTCCTTCTTTTTTCTTGACAAATAAGGTTTTGTCAATACCACCTATGTTGTAACCATCTCTGGTGAGGAATTATGTAAGCATTTGATACAAAGCTCTTGGAACTTGTTTTAACCCATATAGAGCATTCTTTAGCTTATAAACATGATGTGGTGCACTAGGATCAAAAAATACATTTGGTTGTTCAACATAAACTTTTTCATTCAAAAATCCATTTAAGAAAGAACTTTTGACATCCATTTGATACAACTTGAATTTTAGAAGGCATGACATTCCAAGCAAAAGCATGATAGATTTGAGGCGAGCAACTAGAGCAAAGGTCTCATCAAATTCAATGCCTTCTATTTGAGTGTATCCTTGAGCCACTAACCTATCCTTATTCATGGCTATATTACCATTATCATCTTACTTGTTTTTGTAGATCCACTTAGTTCCTATGATGTTGATTGAATTAGGTAACCAACTCCCATACAATGTTTCTTTCTAACTGAACAAGTTCTTCCCGAATGGAATTGATCTAATATTCATCAGTTAAGGCTTATTTAACATTATTGGGTTCAACCTTGAAGATGAAACACATGTTGACAATCACTTCTTTGGATCTCGTGATAATTCCTTCATTGAGATCTCCAATCACATTTTTCATAGGATTATACTTATGCATTCTAACAGAAGTATCATTGTTTGTTAAAACATTTTCCTCCCCTTATTTAAAGTCTTCATCTTCAGGATTCTGAATGATTTCATTATTTTTGCTTGTCACATCAGGTGTCCCATTTTCTCATTTATGAGCATGCAGTCTTCCTCTTCATCAATTGTTTCAAATTCGGGAACATCATCTACAACCACATTGGTGGATTACATGATGGTATTTTTCTAGTTTTTATAAATATGACACGCCCTACTGTTGACATAAAATCCTAATTCCTTCATCACTTTTAGAATCCAACTTGTGCCTTTGCTCTCTATCAATCAGGATGTAGCACTTGCACCCAAACACATGGAAGTATTTGAAATTATATTTTCTTCCTTTCCATAGCTCGTATTGTGTAAATTTGGTTCTAGGATGAAATGTTACTCGATTGTGAATATGACAAGTTGTGTTCATTTCTTCATCTCAGAAGTAATAGGGTAGATTCTTCGTGTGAAGAATGACTCTGGCCATATCTTGAAGAGTTCTATTATTGCGTTCAACCACTCAATTTTGTTGTGGAGTAATTGGTGTAGATAACTAATGAGAAATACCTTATGAAGAGTAGAATTCTAAAAAGCTAGAGTTTTAAAATTCCCTTCTATGATCACTTCGTATTCTAGCAATTTTACCAATCTCTCTTCCTTTCTCACGCTGAAGGCGTTGACATAACACTTCAGATGTGATAAAGGTGTCTAATTTTTATCTAAGAAAATCAAACCAAGTGTACCTTAAGTAGTCATCAACAGACATAAAACATATCTCCTTTCACCCAAGCTTTCAACTTGCATGGGTCCCATGAGATCCATGTGAAGTAACTCCAGAATTTTTGAGATGGTAATATATTGTAGCTTCTTGTGAGGCATCTTGGTCTATTTTATTATCTAGAAGTCTCCACAAATTATTCCTTCTTCAATCTTGAGATTAGGATAGCCATTAATATCCTTTTCATAGATAATATTTCTCATGCTTATAAGATTTAGATGGCTAAGTATTTTGTGCCATAACTTGGTTTCATCTTCTTTAGTAATCAAACAAGTTAGGGGTTGGTCATTTGATTGAGATATCCACATGTAACAGTTATTCGAAGACCTTATACCTTTCATGATAAGCTTCTTACTTTTGTTTGTGACAATACATTCAAAAATATTAAAGTTGACACAAAGATCTTAATCACACAGGTGGATGATACTAATGAGATTAGCAATCATACCTTCAATTAGAAGAACATCTTCTAAATTTAGGAGACCTTGATAATCCAGTTTCCCTTTTCCCATAATCTTTCCTTTAGAACCATAACCAAAAGTAACATGGCTATTAGTATAGGGTTTAACTTCTTTCAAATAGTTCTCCTCTCTTATCAAGTTTCTAGAGTAACCATTATCTAAGTACCAATCTTCACGATAGAATGCTCTTAGAGAGGTATGAGCAATGTGACTCATAGTTGTCTCCTTAAATTTCTAAACTTGTTGGACATGGTCATTTCTTGACGTCTTCTTGGTTGGTTTCTGTTTGTAAGGATAGAAAGGTCTATCATGCATCTTATAACATAAATGTCGAATATACCTATATTGAGCACAACAGTGGCATCTCCAAGATAGTATTTTGAAGACATTTTTGCGTTGGTAATAACGTAGAGCCGGTTGTTTTGACTTGTAGTCTTTCATCAAGAACTCAATTTCCTGTTCACGAGGAACAAACATATTTTTTTCATTCATAAAAATGTAACCAAAACCAATACCTTTCACATCTCTAGTCATTTTTGCTACACCAAGGATCTTATCAAGAATTTCAGATCCACAATTTAACATTCAAACTAACTTGGTCATACCATAAATAAGTGTGACTTCTTCCATCAGGTTAGAGATGATTTTAGAGAGATTAGCTTTTTCTTTAGGTATGATATTTATTTATCACCAGACAAGCATTCTTCTTTCCATTTAACATGTAGCTGTCTATAGGCTTTAAAAACATCTTCATATAAAAGTTCTTCATCACTAGATTCATCACCGGTCTAATAATTTGTTTCTAACCCATGCAAGTCGTGAATGCAATTACACTATTGGATTTGTCTTCACCACTCTAATATTCAGATTCTTCATCTAAAAGTGTGGTAGTTGTCATACTCCAAATTTTCCCCATCTTTCATATATCTTTAAGCGCCATTCTATTTTGAATGCGCGTAATAACCTGGTGGATAAGGAAATGAAGAAAGGAATGTGAGAGGAGATGAGTTTGAATCTCTCCTCTGTCCTTTTTGTTCTTTTTTTTAACTATAATTAGTTAGAGTATTATTTCTAACTTTTTCTATGTTTGTTTTGATTAAATTTATAATATTATATTTTAATTTTATTGTTATTAGTTTTTATTAGAATTTTAATTAAAGCATCAGTATAGTTTTATTGTTATTATTAGGGAAAATATAAATTTATATATAAAAAAGAGAATCTATTGTTATTAGAATATTTTTAGTTTTATTACTTTATGATATTATTATTATTATTATTATTATTATTATTTAAGAAAAAATAAAAAAAGTAGTTAAAGAGTTAGTTTTTTTTGTTTGTTTTTAAATTGTTGTCTTTCTCATTTAATTCATAAATCACAAAAAGATCAAAATTGAATTTTTTTTTAATTTTTTATATTTTAATTTTTATTTAAATAGAGTTTTTAAATAATTATTTTATTTATTTTTATTCACTTTTTACCATTAATTAATCAAATTATAAAAATACAAAAAATGTTATTTTTTATCTATGTTTAGAATAGTATTTTTAGAAGTAAATAAATGTGATTGATTTTTAAACTTAATCATTTTTATCACTTTTATTTTTCTTCCT